CTGCCACCCACCAGCCACCACCCACTTACCACCCTGTCACCACCAGCCACCACCTGCCACCACCCACCTGCCACTCACTCGTCACCACCACCACCACCACCCGCCGCCACCACCCGCCCCCTACTTGCCACCACCACTCACCACTTACCTGCCACCACCAGCCACCCACCACCACCAGCCACCTGTCACCCACTCACCCGCCACCACCACCACCTGCCACCCCCGCCACCCACCACCATTACCCACCGCCACCTACCTACCACCACTACTCACCACCACCCACTCCCCACTCGCTACCGTCGGCCACCGTCACCCACTCACCCACCACCATCACCACCACCACTACCCTCCCCCCTCCACCACCACCCGCCAACCACCTGCCACCACCACTCACCATCCGCCACCACCACTATCCACTCGCTACCACCCACCACCCACCACCCGCCACCTACCTGCCACCACCATCCACCACCACCACTCACTCACTACCACCTACCACCCGCCACCGTTACCCACCCACCACCACCACCAACCACCCGCCACCACCACCACCACCACCACCATCACCGCCACCACCCACCACCCGTCACCGTCACTCACCCACCCACCACCACTAGCTACCCACCACCCACCGTCACCACTTTCCACCACCGTCGTCCGCCGCCACTTGCCACCACTTGCCATTTCTCACTCTTTTTTATATTTAAATTTTTTTTAAACATTTTGTCAATTACCAAATGCGTTTGTAGTTTATGTTTTTCTAAAAATAAACAAAAAATAAACAAAAACTAGTTTATAAAATTTTTGCAAATATAAACTGAAAACGTAAACGTTACCAAACACACCCTAAGAGTTGACAAATCCCGTTCGATTACGAAAACGGCCGCTCAAGCGGAGGAGCAAAATTTGTTATGCTCGCTCGAGTATAAAAATGCCCGCTCGAGCGGAAGAGCCAAAATTTGGGCAACACTGGTTTGGAAAAACAAACAACCAACCTGTTCCAAACGCACAATTTCAATCCGATAACCAAAATAGAGGGGAGACCAGGAAAACAAGATATGAATCATCATCCAAAACCATACAAACCCGAGTCTAGGATACAACAAATGACGGGTCAAAATCAGAATCGCTATGACTACAGTGACTTATATACCGTAATGGGCCGCCATTAGGTTTCAATTGATGATTTTGACTATCATTAACCCTTAATCTTTGTTACACAATGGCCACCATGAATACAATGAGAGTAGAGTGGCAATATCGGTCTACCCAAACGAATATCCTTCAGGAGCTATGTGAAGAAAACAATATTCGAATTCCTTGAAGGAGGTCAAAGAACATGTCCATCGATACCCCGCAATTGCTGCAAATGGCGTTACACTGCATTCGTGAAGAAGTTACCCGAATGTCAATGCGTTTAAATCGATATCACTTTTGTCAACTCGCAACTAAGCATGCCGAGGATGGGTTAATGCATGAAGCATAATTTTACTTGACTATAAGTAGGAAGGAACAAGTATTATTCGATGTTAAGATGTCAGATGAGGAATAAAAATAATAAAATTCCTTTGTAATAATCCTTTAGTCTAATTATAATATTTAGAATGTGATCGTAACTATTCTATATGTATGTTATAAAATATTTTCATATTATTTTATGAGTTTCAATATATGTCTACATAATGTTCATATAACTTAAAGTCATAGTATTTGATTGATATTGACTCCATAGATTTAATAAAAAATTTTCATTACATAAACAACTTAAAGTACAAAATACTTAATATAGAGATTAAACACAGAATATAGCACTAAAAAAAAAAATACGTTAACATAGACAATAACACCTTAGAAATGACACAACAAACAAACATTTTCTTAAATAGAAGTTGTCTAATTCTTCATTCTTCATCTAACATGTAGTAATCGGAGTGATATTTTTCGTTGCTTAGGTTATTATTGAGCTTGATTTTAGTCAATTGTCTATTGCTTGCGTCTACCAACACGTGGCAAGGTGACGCCGATGTATCAGCCGAGGTGCCATGTGTCCTGGTCATTATGCCGATGTTATCTTGGCATTGCCGAGGTTATCTCCGAAGATATCAGAATTCGAGATAAACGGATAAGGGACAAGAGTCCTAAAATGAAGAGGAGACTTAGTCAAGATGAGGATAAAGCTCTTAGGGAGTTTATCTTTATCTCTTGAGGAGTTCAAAGTAAGTACTGAATTGGAGTCCATAGAAGTCAGGCTTCTAATGGGACTAGGATTGAGTTAACTATAAAGGAGAGGCACCCCCGTGGGTCTAAGATACGCAATTTATGATTTTGATATTCTGTCTAGTGAGTTAAGAACTATTGGTTATCTTTGAGAGATATTGAGTACTGACTTGATCGTCGGAGTGCCCCCGGGTGGACGAGCCACCGTCGGAATCTTCTATTTCTGTTGTAGGTTGTTCGGGCTTAATCTATTCTGCCAGTGCTCTCCAGCTGGGTACCTGTTTGGCAGTGTGGTCAGAAAATCACCCACATAATTTGGCGCCGTCTGTGGAAAAGAAAGAAGAATAGATAGCCAATGACGGACAGAAGGATCAAACTGGAGACAACGCTCCTGTTGGGAATGGGAGATCTATCAACCTCGACGTTGAAGGGGACAACCGCAACACAGAAACTCGTGACCAGAGTCACGAAGTGAAAGACGCCGGCTAGGAAGGTGACACACCAAAGACAACAGATCGAAGCGGATACTACAATGAAGATGACCTCCAGGTATGGAAGGATAGATACCTGCGGAGGAACGAAGACCCTTCCAGAAGGGATGCAAAGACAGGGGGCATGAGCGCTCCCAAGGAGATAACATTCAAGTATAGAAGAACTCATCCTGAGTGAGCAGATCCCGGATTCCAGATCCTGGATCCCGGATCCGAGAAGACATGATCTCAGCCTAGACAAGTAGGCTCGAGAAGACGAGAGCTCAACCTAAGTGAGCAGATCCAAGATTCTAGGGGGCATCGTTCACCAAAGACTTGCTACTGTTGCTTCGGTAGCCAAAAGAAGCAGACTTCCTCAATTTGTTCAGCTCATCTTTCTGAATGCCCCAATCCAATTTCCCATCTGGAGATCCCCAATCCGAAAGGTTAGAAGGCATTACATTTGCAGAAGAAGCAGGCAAAGGAAGCCCAGAGAGATGGTTCACAGTGCTCCTATCGATGAAGCTCTGGCTCCGCTTTGCAAAGGCAGCTGCCCTTGAACTCAGAACCGCTGCAGCTGCTGAAGCCCCAGATGGGTCAATCCCCATTGATGACGATGCACGGGCTGGTGAGGATGAAAGGCTTGTAGGATAGGTCGAGCGGAGCTGCTGGTTCATGTTCTGGCGCATCTGCATTCCAGTTGGAGACTGCGCTTGGGATGCGGAGGCATCTAGAGAAAGTCCCTGGAACTGAGGCAAAATTGCAGGATCAATAGATCCGAAAACATCATCAAGGTTAGTAGGTTTCACACCTCCGAGCCTATTGAAATCCCCACTTCGATCAAAAGACGAAGCTGCAAAAGCTGCAGCAGTAGCCAAGTTACAATTCCAACTGGTTGGGGAGGAGAGACTTGACATCTCATCCATCAACTGTTGCTGCTGCCTGCGACGATGACTTTCAAGCCCAAGTAATTCAGCATCTAAATCCATGTCTCTAGCACTCCATGAAGACTTCAACCGGCTACCAGGAAGCTGCAGTGTGGGAGGCACGATGTTGTGCTGGTTCTGCCACATAGACATCGACCCACCCATAGGAGAAGAAGCTCCTGAAGGAGTCATAGGTGGTGTTGAAGTGGGCGGCATCAAAAGAGGAGAACCATGACCAAGCATGCTCATTGATGTCATATCCAACGAAGGAGCACCGTTTGAGAATGATCTAGGAGAAGGCACTGCTGACCCGGTTGAGGCATACAAGGGGCGAAGCTCTTCAGGTTTGTGAGCAAAGAAGCACACCCTTCTGGAGCAACCCGTCTCATCTTTGCAGAGACGGGTTCGATACTGCGCAGGGTGAAGCCAGCACTCAAAAATTCCATGTGCGTATTCACAAGCATCCCCCTGCCTGCACGTCCCCTTTCGGAACTCGGGACATGGCACGCAGCTATAATGATATTTCCGTGGATCACGTCGCCTAGCGTTTTCCCCAGGGTGGACAAACGGACATTCTGTCCAGTCATGCGAGTAAGCCCTCGAGCAAGGCTTAACCTTGAACGTATACATTCTAAACTCATCCGTCCCGATATTATGTCGATTCGATAATTGTATCATATTTAATTTATTATGTTTGTTATCCAAAAAAAAAAAATGTTCTATTTTAAAAAATACACTTTTCACGCATTATATATATATATGTTATAAATTAAATATGTTAAGATTATCAGATCAAGTTATATTTTTATGTAAATAATATACATACACAAAAAAAAACTTACAAAATAAAGGGTTGTTTAGTTTTCATTTTAGGTTAAATAATCACAAAATGACAACAAAAAAAAGTCAAAAAATCACAAAATAACAAAAATCACAAAATACAAAAAAAATCCACTATTTCAAAGTTAAAAAGTTAAAAAAAGTTAATCAAGAATGCCAAACGAACAAAAAATTTTCAGACTAAAAAAATTTTAAAAATTAACTAAATACCAAAAATACTTAAAAAAATATGAAAATTCAATATATTTTTGTATTCTTGTGTATTTATGGATTTTTTAAAATATTTTACTTTTTAAATACATCTAAGTAAAGTGCATCTAAAAAAGTAAAAAAAATACTTAAAATTTTAAAAATATTCACTAAAAATAAAAATAAAAAACACGAAAAATAAAAAAACTCAATTTTTAAAAAATTGAATTTAAAAAATTGAAATTAAACACAGTGAATAATATTTATCCTAAAAAAAAATTACAATATGATCTTTTTAATTATTAATGAATATTAGTTTATCTTATTATTTATATGTACATTCGACTCTCTCAAAATCATATAAATACATCTTTTTTGGAGATTGTCTTAATTAAGGGAGTTTGTAAAGGTAAAACTTATATTATTTTTATAATTAATGAAGTCGAGATGTACATATTCATAGATTGAAAAAGTAAAGTGATATTCATTAATTATTAAGATAATTTTGGTGTAAATAACCTCAAAAAAAAATGTAAAAGCAGGGTTTCAAAGTTCAACTTCTCTGTTTTGCGCAAAATCATCATTATCTTTGTGAATTTATTAGCACTTTTACAATTACTGGAGCCTTTAAAGTTTAAACAAAATCATCATTAGGTTAAAGGAACAATTTACTAATTCTCTTTTGGGCAAATCATCATGAGTTTTGTATGGCTGTAAAACAATTACTTTGTTTGAAGAGTTTTTTTTTTTAAATATTCTAAAAAAAAATTAGAGAATTGATCAACTTTTCAAACTATTTGGAAAACTAACTCGCTTTTTAAAATCGTGTTTTCAACATGCAATTTTAACTTCAAATCACATGCTGAAAATTCAATTTTAGGATCACATGAATTACTATCGTAGCAAATTGAAATTGCACTTTCAACTTGCGATTTCAAATAAAATTGTATTTTTAACATGCAATTTCACCTGTTATGCAATTTCAATTATTAGCTATCTATGACTTGTGTTTGCAATTGTTAGTTATAACATAGCTACTTCAAGTTGTTATAAATATATATTAGTATGTGAGAACCAATTCAGTTGTATCTACAGATTGTTATAAGATTATACAATAAATAAATACATGCAAACACTAAAATTTCGAAATAACTATTTTAACAATAACTAAGATTATACAATTATACAATAACTATTTTAACGCCCCCAAAATTTATACAATAAATACAATCCAGACATATATAAATATGAAAGCATGAATCAGACTACAATGTTCTTTCATTTCGAATAGTTAATAATATAGAAGAGTTTAACATAAATAGATGCCCTATAAGCTTACACCTTTCATAACATTGACTTGGTTACAACAAAATGAGTCGAGCTCTTACAAATAAAGCCATTGTCTATACAAAAATACACAATCAAAATAAAGAAGCCTTTGCTCCCAAAAGTCCCTTCAAACTACTGTCTTAGTGGAGGCATGCCATCATTACCTGAAAATATTTTTCCTAAGTAGGGTGAGCCACAGCCCAGTAGGAATAATCTAATACAATATATGAGTTTTAACAAAAATAAAAGTGCAATGCGCATATACAATACCCGGGATAAAACATTCATACTTTTATATCACCATGGGATATTAAATCCCTATTCCATTTCATTTTCCCTCTAATTCATCTCAATGCATGTGCCAATTTCATTATTTCTTTAATAACCCAAATGAGACTACAACTCAATGATTCTACAATCACATCGTCAACAAGCAAACACTTCAAATTGTCATTTTACGAAAATTTTATCCACGGTATCGGCACCCACGTACAAATTTCGGGACTTTCACGCAGGACACTCTAGCCAACTTAATTATAATAGAGTCCATCCCCACTTCAATTATAAACTCAATTTCACGGTCTATCAACTGCCCTGGCAATTCTTCGGGAAAAACATTCGGAAATTCACAGACCACTGGAATCACGTCAATATCCCCATTCATCACTTGCCCTCCCAAAACAATACATAAATACCCCTGACACCCTTTCTGAATTAATTTACAAGCCTTTGCTGCGGAAATCAAACAAGGTGGAGAAGTCACTTCCTGTCCCTGAACAATAGACTCTGATTGTCCCAGAGGGTGGAAACTGATTTGCTTAGTCAAGCAGTTTATAGTTGCACCATAATCACTCAGCCAATCCATTGCCAGAATAACATCAAAATAGGTCATGTCGAGAGGTAACAGATTAGTATACACCCGAATATCCCCAAGTTGGAGTTCACAAGCTAAGTATACAGAAGCACATATCATAGAGTCTCCCAAAGGTGAAGATACACACAACATATAAGACAAGTTTTCTTCAGTTTTATCTAGATTAGGAGCAAATAGTTTAGACACAAAAGAGTGGGTGGAGCCAGAATCAAACAATACATGAGCAGAATGACCGTGAACAATAAATGTACCTGACACCACTGTTGCCGCATTTTGTACATCTCCCGGAACCAATGCGAACACCCTGCCTTGCCTCGCGGTATCTTTATTGTTAGTAGGTTTAGCAGCTGTCTTAGTGTTGGGGGTTGGTGTAGACCCCGCGGAACTTGTAGCAGTCCTATTGCCTTTTTGTTGAGTCCATTGCGGGCAATCCCTTACCAGATGACCCATTTTGCCACACTTAAAACACGCTCCAGTCTTCTAATGGCAAGTCCTACGATGCTGCATTCCACAGTCTGAACACACAGGAGCGGAGTTTTGAGCAGGGGTGGTGGTGCTGGAGTTCCTTGGATTATGCTTCTTATTTGGTGGAGTAACTGATCCCTTAGACCATTGATTGTTCTGTCTCTTCCCTTTCCACTCGGAAATCCGATTCTGAGTAGCGAGGTTTCCTTCTGCTATAACGGCCCTTTCTAACACATCGACATAGGTAGGTAGCTTTAACATATTGACTCGGTCTAGGATAGCACCCCGTAATCCCCTTTCAAATTTGTGTACCTTCTTATAATCCGTATCCACCATATGAGGCGCAAACCAAGCTAGTTCTACAAATTGAGCTTCATATTCTGCAACGATCTTACTTCCTTGTCGAAGAGTTTCAAATTCAGTCGCCATTTTATCTCGTACACTTTGGGGAAAGTACTTATCATAGAACAGCTCCAAAAATCTATCCCATATTAAGCCTTGATGCACAGTTCTCGTAAGCATCCACCACCTTCGCGCATCGTCTTCAAAAGTGAAGGCGGCAAGTTGCACTTTCTGGACTTCGGTACAAGGAAATACTTCGAACAGTTTCTCTATCCCCAGCACCCATGCTTTAGCTTTCATTGGTTCTATTCCTCCATTGAATGACGGCATTTTCATCTTCTTAAACTCCTTTGTGAGTGTAATGGTTCGGTCCTTAGCATGAAAATCTTGTACTACAGGTGGAGGTACCGGTGGCGGTGGCGGTGGCGGTTGTGGTTGTTGTTGTTGATGCAAAGTTTCCGCCATTTCCATAATCATTCTTTCCATTTTGTCCAACCTTGCAGAAGTGGCATCTTCTGGGTCTTCTGTCCTTGTTCTCACCATAATCTACACAACAATCAATTATATACCATAGACATAGTTCAAAATTGTTAGCATTAATAGAGACGTTGCCATCAATCTTTCATATACTTTCAGGATGTCATGCATGATACCTACTCTTTTCTAGACATCCTAAAGCTCAATGGATTCGTGTGTGAGATAGCAACTCATGCTCTGATACCATTTGTCACGCCCCTAACCCGTCCCTAGAAGTTTGGGCATGACCTATGCAAAAATGGACACTCAACCTGATATATAACATAGGGGCCTGAACGGAAACATTGACATCATGATAATATATAAGAAAGTATGGCATCCATTGAGCTCCTATTACCATGCCAGGATCACAGACACTGCATAAGACGAATGGAGCTAAGGAGATACACAAAGCTTGTTATATACATATGCATATACAGATCCAGCTCCAAGGTTGGGCGTATAACAAAAATATTATGTACATTTTATCCTAAGCCAACAACTAGAGTACAAGCCATAGTCTAGCAAAACACCACAGAAATATACGGCTTCGACCAAGTGCTTGGCTATGCTTAGGCTGACAAAAGTGTGATGGTGTCAGGACTAGGACCGACCTCCAGGTTGATTACCTACAAAAACAGACATAACATAGAGTGAGCCAGGCTCAATGAACAATAGTACATAAATGATCCGATGCTCAATTTAAATTATAATACATTTCAAAGCGTAAGTGAATGCAGAAATCATGTGGTTAATCTGATTCTGTACAAATTTTCTGAACAACCTTGTCGGTTCACAACTTCACAGATTGGCCCTTGGCCTGATGGGTTCACAGATTCACAAATTGGCCCTTGGCCTCATAGATTCATAGCTTCACAAATTGGCCATCGGCCTCATAGATTCACAACTTCACAAGTTCTTTCGATGTTTCCACAATGTCACACTTACTCCTAAGTAGCATACATGTTAACATAATTTCTTGCGAAGAACATAACGTCAATAACAATAATTATTAACGTGATTAAAGATACATCGATAGTACTATTACTCACTATGTTGCGGCGGGGCACTAGTTCCTCCCAAAGCGTGTCCTACACATACACAAAGATACAAATTAATTTCCCTTTTTCTTGTGAAATCATCTCTTGACTCGTTTTACTTCGACTGAATTAACGAACATCAAAACAACATCAATTACAGATTTCGACAACATTAGAGGATCCAGCATGTAAAACGGAGCAACCCATGTTTTCCAGTTTGGGCCACACGTGCGGCAAGGAATCCCGCACGTGCGGCAGTGATGCCCCACACATGCTTTTCTAGCAGTGTTCAAAACCCAAAATTCACCATTTTTCCGCACGTGCGGCCATGACTCCCGCACGTGCGGCATGGGTTCCCGTACGTGCGACAATAACCCCCGCACGTGCGGCGATTTGCTACATTTTGCAGTCCGAAATTCCTTCAACAATCCCACTTTGATAGGTGTTTATAAAGCCCAAGATAAATCTAACAATTGCTAGGATATGGCTTAAAGATTACATAAATAGGATTCACAATACATATCACCTCACTTTGATTAAGATCATTAATCTTCAACTCATGAACATGTTCAATTTAACTCAAAACAAACAATTAAATGATAAACTTATCATACTAACTATCAACCACACACACACTCACTTGTATATATATATATTCCATTACAACTCCAATCCACACCACATCAAGAAATTCCTACTTAATACCAAGGAGAGAAAGTGGAATTAGATAGATTAGACTTACCTTAAGCTTAATACTCTTGAATTCCCTCTAAGTTATCCAATTTGATCTTGAAGAAGTTCCCTTCTAGTTCCTTTTCTCTCTACCCTTATTAACCTTTCTTAGAAGATATTTTTAAGTTAGGAATTCTTAAGTCAATTGGTTAAAGAACACACATATATATACATCTATTAGAAATGAATAGGACAAAAATCAATCGTTTAATCATCCTAAATTGAAATTTTACAGCAACGCTTATTATTACTTAAAAATTATGTTGTTTCCAAATATAAAATCAGTTTCGGATTACCAAGTCTCTAAGGCCCTCAATTTCTGATTTAAACATTCTAATTGTGACAGATACTTTCCTTGCCAAACAGATATAGGCTCAATTCATAAGTTCCATGTACTTAAAGTTAATTTCTCATGAAATTTTTCATTACGGATTTAAATGCACAAAATAAGGGACTAAAAATATACCATAAACATATGCGAGGGTCGGGTTATTACAATTATACCTCGTTCAAATGTTTCCTTGGCCTCCTATGTTCCGATTCATCGGATTACCAGTGTGTTGCTCACTGGTCGCAACTTTGTGGCTTGGAGTCGGTCTATACGTCTCTACCTTGGGGGTAGAGGCAAATCTGGATGGCTTTTGGAAACCGAGATACAACCTCTCGCTGATGATCCTAAGCGGGTTTAATAGGATATTAACAATTGCACCTTACTTGGTTGGATGTTCAACTCTATGGAAGAACGCATCTACAACATGTTTATGTGCTATGATATAGTTCCTCGGTTGTGGAGTGCTCTTACCCAGATATACGCACATGTCCATAATGATGCTAGGATTTTTGAGCTCTATGAGGATATTTCTCATGCCTCTCAGGAAGCTTTGAGTTTTACCGTTGCTGAATTTTTTAGGTATCTTCAATCTCGCTGGGAGGAGTTAGCACAGTATAAGCCATTGAGTGATTTTCTAACTATTGTCGCTTTTATTGTGTCTACTCGTCTTGCTCGCCAGCACACTTATCAATTTCTGATGGGTTTAAAACCTAAATTCGAGTCTTTTCGTGTTCAAATTTCGAACACATCACCTATGCCATCCTTATATAAGGCTTTTGCTACTATTGACAGTGAGGAGCGTTGTCGTCAATTGATTCAACCGGTGGCTCCGCTTCTTTCCTCTATTCCTGTCTCATCTTCCGTTTCAGATCAGATGGCTCTTGCTGCCAAGTTTAGTTCTCATGCTTCTAGTAGCAAGGTTATTTGTCATCATTGTGGTGTAGTTGGTCATGTCCAAGCACGGTTCTTTAAGCTTCATCTTGAGTTGAAGCAACGCTTTGCAAGGACATGCCCTTCAAGCTCTCCCCATATTACTGTTCTGGCAGACACATCTAGTACTCCTTAGTCGACTCATCCTATTGATCTTCATCAGCTTCAATCTCAGATTGGTCGCCTTCAAGAGCAACTTGGTTCATTCACTACCATGTCTCCAAGTGTTCCTTCCACTGCTACACTCGCTACAAGTACACCTACAACCTTTCATGTTCGCACTGCACCTACTTGGGTATTGGATTCTGAGGCCAATGATCATATGACCGGTGAGTTTTCTTGTTTATCCTCTCCTGTCTCTATTACTACTCAGATTGTATGTCTTGCTGGTGGGTCTATTTCACATATCCAACATAAGGGTGATGTGTCATTGTCGTCTGATATTACACTTAATTCTGTTTTACTTGTGCCCCGTTTTGCTTATAATCTTCTCTCTGTGAGTCGTCTTACTAAAAACCTTCATTGTGCTATTATTTTCTTACCTACTCATTGTTTATTACAAGACCTGACTTCAAAGAAGATTTTTGGCAGGGGGTTTGAGCGCGACGGGCTATAATATTTCGGGAACCCACCATCTTCTCATCCTACCACTTCTGGCCTGCAAGCAGTTATGTTACCTGAGTCGTCTTCATATGTGTTTTCTTTTCAAACTTTAGCCTTGTGGCATGCTCGTTTAGGACATGCAAACTTAAATTATTTATGTTTACTTTTTTCGTCACTTAGGCCTCGTTTGGGAAGCGACCGGTTTAGCCAAAAAGTCAAAAAGTTACTAAAAAAGCCAAAAAGCCAACAACCCATACTAAATAGTCAAAGATTCTCTTTTCTCTCTGCTTTTTGCACATCTTTTCGTAAAAAGTCAAAAAGTCATTCCAAACATATTAGTTTTTTTTAGTTCATATTTTAACCAAATAGCCAAAAAGTTACTAAATTAGCATGTTCCCAAACGAGGCCTTAATAAAGCTTGCAAGGATCATCAGTTTCATTGTGTTGTTTGTGAACTGTCTAAACATACTCGTACTTCTTATATTCCTCGTATGTATCGTGCCTCATGTATGTTTGACCTTATTCACTCTGGGGTCCTTTTCCTTGTTTGGCTTTTTCTGGGCATCGCTATTATGTCACTTTCATAGATGACCATTCTCGGTGTACTTGGGTTTATTTGCTTAAAAAGAAGTCTAATGTGCTTCCACTTTTTATTCAATTTCTCCAAATGGTTAAAACCCAATTCCACACCATTGTACACAATGTTCGTTCTGATAATGAGGGGGAGTACATCTCTGATGCATTTCGCTCCTAACTTAATCAGCAGGGAATTTTGTAGCAACTCACTTGTACTTACACCCCTGAACAAAATGGGATTGCTAAACGTAAAAATCGGCATATTATGTCTATTGTCCGGTGTCTTCTTTGTGGGATGAATGTCCCTAAGTCTTACTGGCATATGGATGTGCTTACTGCTGTTTACCTCATTAATCGAACACCTAGTCAAATTCTTCATGGGTCGGCCCCTTTTCAATTACTTCGACCAGATACTGTGTTATTTCCTCTTGTGCCTCGTGTGTTTGGTTGTACTTGTTTTGTTCAGGATCGTAGTCCAACTCGGACCAAGTTAGATAACAAGTCTCTTAATGCATCTTCTTCTGCTATTTCGCTCTCTCTAAAGGCTATAGGTGCTATGATCCGTTGTCTCGTCGTTTTTATCATTCTATGGATGTCACATTTTGCGAAGCTCTACCATTTTTTGGTTCTAACCCTGTGTTTCAAGATTCCGCCTCGCGTGCACCGCATCCTGCTATGTCACCGAGTGCTCGCCTTGTTCCTATCATTGATTCATTTGCTCATTCCTCATCGCCTGTATCTGCACTTGCTAGTCCTCCGCCATTACCGACATACTCTCGACGCCCTCGTGCTCCGCCCTCTCCAACATCTTCATC